CCTGAACTTGAACTGAACTGAAAACTCTGAACTGAGAGGGTGTAAGAAACGTAGAGATAGATACCCAGAAAAAAAAATAAGGGAAGAGTAATGGACAATGCAGCGCTTCTATATGCTAAACCTTCACGACCGATCTGTCTTGTAGGTTTTAATCTATACAAGCTAGTTTCTAAAAAGAAATTGATATTTTGGGATTTTCTCCCTTTGAGGGGTTTGAGGAGAGCCAAACCAAACTCTCGCTTTGCATATTTTTCCCACTTCATAGAAAAACTTTGAATCATAAAATTCAAGGAAGGGTCAAAAAAGTCTCTAATAAGTATCCACCTCTTTTGCACGGATGCTCCGGCGTCTTAGTCCCATTCGACATTTCTTCATGTTAAGAGGTTCTACCTATTCCAAAATCAACATTCCTTTCTCTTTTACCATATTTTGTTTCGTTTTTGAACCCTTTCTAATCCCTAGTTTCTTCTTTTCTATTACGGATCTATAAATGATTTAAATGGAAAATAATATTTATTTTTTATTTGGAGATCATGAGATGCGATCTGGTGTGACGTAGATTTAGAAAAAAATTTCCTTATCGTGCCAACGTTTCAATCTTTATTGAGATCATCTTCAGGACCTGGGATTTATAAACATTGTTTAAACATACAAATATATGTAGGATGTGAAAAAATGAATATATACAAATATAGAATTTTTAGACTCAATCATTTTATCCAAACTTGTTATATTTACTCTTTTAACGTATAAAATCTCTAACAGATGTAGGATATTCTTTGCAATCGACCAGCCTTTCTAATTACTACGATTAGGGTTGTGGTCAGAAAGAATTCCTTATTTTTCCACCAACGCCGAACTTTCGACGACATATTTCGTCTTTCAAGGTCTACAGTGAACATTCTTCCATTAATTTTCATTCATACACATAGGTATACCACAGATGCTTGACAACTTACAGGTACTTAGTCAAAATGTCAAATTACTAAACAGGTTTATTAAATAACTCCATCTCCAAATTATACTATTTTTTAACAGTATAAATAGGAAACCTAATTTTAAAAATTATAAATAATAAAACAACTTCATTTAACAGGTACTTACATAAATATCACATGAAAGATGACTAGACTTGAGGTTTTTCTTATTAGATTTATGTACTACTTAGTAATCTAATGTAATACTTAGATGTTATACACCTCTATTTCTCACTGATACTAATATTTCTCCACAGCCTCTTATTTATATAAATAAATACGAAAAGAATTGTTTATATTTTGTGCTCGTTATTTCAAATCTAATGTGAATTGTTCTGATTTCTTGGGAGAGAGGGCTTGTCTTGTTCTAAAATCCCACTATAAATAACATTTAGACCATGGAGATCTGTTTTTAAATTACAAGACTTGTTTTTCAAAGTCATAATTATTACTGTGTATGTGATAATGAATATCCCAGCTGAGGATTGTTAAAAATGGAATTAAAGTCTACACCATCTCTAATTCCTTACAATTTATCATAAATATCAACTATAACTTTGAAAATTAAATTAATTAATTTTCTTTATCTATTAAAAGAATTGCGGAATCTGTGAAATATTTTATTCTCTTTCATTTAAGCATATTAAACGTTCCAGATGCCTTACTGAATTAATCACTTCTTCTCTATTAAAATTTAGTCATGTGAAATTTTTAAAAATTATATTACTTTCTAACAAGATTTTATTACTGAATGAAATTTCTTCCGATAAAAATTGCAATCTGCCTTGAAAGGCTAAAAGGTATTAAGATTTGCCAATGATTGGACAGGCCGATAATAAATCCCATAATCCCAATAGAGCCCGTATTTGTGTGAGACAAAGAGCTTACCTTTTCTGCCTCCTGGCATTGATCCTCCGACAGCAATAAAAAAGAAGAAAATCAGAAGTAGAGCTGTGAATCAATGGATGGAGATCTGTTTTTTTTTTTTCTACAATTTTTAGATTTTCTCTCGTGTTTTTTTAGATGTTATTAATAAATTCAAAACTCTGTTTTTTAACTACTTAAAACTTAACATAGAAATAATTGTAAACAGGTTTCGTTTTAGCTTTAGCTCTACTCTCAAATACTCTTTTTTCAAATAGTAACTAACATTTTCATTTTCAGATTCATTAGGTTCATTCAATTATTTGATTAAAAATGGCAACATCAATTGAAAAATCGTGCTGAAAAACGTTAGTAATTGTGAAAATAACACGTCAAATCAGATAGTGAAAAATACTTCACCATTGTTTTTAAGTCCACAATGAATTTTGTTTATGTCTATATTTAGTTTAACACAATGTCTAAATTTTAAATTAAGTTTCTTTGTAAATTAAAAATTTATCTGCTAAAAAGACTCCAGGATATAATCTTATAACTGGAGAAATACTAAAACAATTGCCAAAGAAGCGGATAGTTAGACTAACATACCTATTTAATGCTGCAATCAGATTGAAATATGTCCGCAGCATCTGGAATTTTGTAGAAGTCATTGTGATTTTTAAAAAACACGAGAAAACGAGGTAGAATTATATAAACCAGCATCGTTATTACCGACAGTGCCTAAGCGTTTCGAAAAGTTATTATTAAGAAGAATAAAACCTATTGTAGAAAAAAAGAAAATCATCCCTGACTACCAATTTGGATTCCGAACAAGACATTCAACAATAGATCAAATTCACCGAGTAAGCGAAATAATAGAAAAATCTCTTGAAGGAAAACAAATTTGTTCTGCTATCTTCCTTCATCTTTCACAAGCTTTTGACAAGGTCTGGCATGAAGGACTCATAAATAAACTAAAAGTGATCCTACCAAAGATGTATTTAGATATTACCAGTTCCTATCTAAATGACAGACCGTTGAGAATCAAACAAGAAGATCAATATTCAAAATTAAAAACAATAAACGCAGGAGTGCCACAAGGAAGCATATTAGGTCCACTTCTTTACTTGTTGTACACCAGTGATTTTACGAAAATAAATGGAGGAAAAATTATAACGTTTGCAGATGACCCAGTGGTGAAATTAATAAGACCGACTATCAACCATTCAACCAAAATTCTTCAAAATGCTTTTAATAAGATAAACGAATGGACAAAAAATGAAAAATCAAGCTCAATCAGCTTAAATATATACTTTACAAACAAAAAATGGAACATGTTTCGTCGCTCACAATCTATGGAACTATTATACCATACAGCAATACAGCCCAATATCTGACAATGGCTTTATATGCCAAGCTGAGATGGAAGCTCTGAAACACGAGAAGAAAAAAAGACAGAAATAGGTTTAAGGAATAGACAACTACACCTTGGTACATAAGGAATAAGGGCTTACCTAAGGATCTTAAGATACCTGAGGTCACGGCGCAATTACAAAGACATGTCGCCAATCCCGCTTCGAACAGGACAAGAATGTGGAAGCGACCAAACCCCGACATAACCGAAACACCGTCAGAAGATAAAAGGAACAAAACCATATGAACTAGTGTATCAGGAAGCGACGTAGGTGCTCTTATTCGTCTTTTGAGGTTATCCTATAATATTCGATGGGATTCAAGTCTGAAGAACGGCTGGCCAGGCGAAGACTCTGATGTTATGTTGTTGAACGTACGTTTGTACTATGCGAGCGAAAGTGGACGGGCAATATCGTGCATTAGAATAGGATCGCGACGATTTCATCGAGGATAGGCATCGCATGATGTTCGAAAATTTCATCCACATAGCGAGTGGTCATCAAAGACCCTCCACGAACAACAACCAACTCTGTGGAACTGTCCATTGAAATGCCCGCCCACACCACTTAACTACGTTGAAAAGGTTGGCTCTGTGAAAAATTACAAGCTTCGTACCTTTCATTTCGCCTTCCCCACACTCTTTCACACCCATCTGGAGATCGTAGAGCAAATCTACATTCATCTGTAAAAAGTACAGCAGACCAATCGGGTAAAGAACAATGGCTGTGTTCTCGAGCAAATGCGAGCCGAGCAACTCTGTGTGTTCTGGTCAATTCTGGTCCTTTTACGGGGCGAAAAGCCATCAGTCCATACTGATTTAATCTTCTTCGAGCAGTGAGTTTAGAAATTTGGACACCTCGAACTTCCTGGAGCTGATGAATCGTTTGAACAACAGTAAGGTGCCGGCAAAATTCTCGAAGTCACAAAACGGTCAACCTGTGGTTCTGTTAACCTAGAGCGTCCAGAACGGGACATTCTATGGAAGGCCCAGTTCCTAGTAAACGTCTAACGGCGTCTCGCAGAGTTTCGTAGGGAACTCCAATGGAAATAGCCGCATACCTGATGAAACATCCATCATCAATAAGTGCCACACAACGCGCAATATCCTGAGCACTAAATGGCATTTTTAACTATAAAAATTGAAATTAAGAAAACCAAGATGAAAACTAATCAGTTTACTGCTTCAGAATTCAAATGAGTCTGAATAAACATTTTAAATTCCGTAAAAAGTAAACATCGAAAAATCCTTTATCCTTGTTTTGGATTAAGAATTAAGTGTGTTTACCTGTAATTGATATTCCCAATTTAAAACATAGCATAAACAAATATTTATTGATAAAATCAATGAGACAAATTAAGGACGGACTTTTCTTTTATCGAAAAAACAAAACAAAAATCAATTGGGTGAACTTTTTTGCCTGCCAGTGTATATTATGGTACAATTAATGGTTGGTCTAAAAAGACCAGTTTTAATAAATAAAATTAAATAGTGAACAAAAGGTTTTTTTGTAATTACTTCATCAGTATAAATACTACTTATTATAATTAGAATCGTTGAAAAATATAAAACGTTTATTATCAAAAAGTTAGTAGATCTGGTATGACGGTATTCTCGACGGTGCAAATAGGGAATTCCTTTTTCCCAGTTGGGATCTAATGCAAAACGTGACGGAGGGTCGGGCTGCTCAGTATGTATGGCCTGGTTTCCGGCTCTTTCTACCTTTCTCAATCGTGTTTCATCTGTTACAGTGACTGGGCCAGCCTTGGTGTCCGTCCTTCTGGCCTGTTCGGTATTTCTGGTGAGTCTCGGAGCCGTGACATGCTTCTGCTACAAGAGGCGGGAACAGAGCAAAGCAGCCAGAGGCCGAGGAAGACCTTTGGCATTCACGAGAAGACCAGCTGCTGTACGAAGCCCGGCCACCAACACTCACTATCTCAAAAAGACACCGAGTCCGACTTCAAGACCGCCTTCAGCTAGTCCTATCGTAAGTACAAAAATATTGCTATTACATATAAGCCTTATTTTAAAAAAAAATCTATATGAGCGCACGGCAGTTTGTGCCATGTGTATCTTTACACGAACCAATTCACCCGAATTTTCTTACCCTCATATCGCACACCACAAGAAAAGTGACAAAACTCAAAAAAAGCAATTTTACAGAAGAGGCATATGGATAATTAGAGTTGTTGGCATAAAAATTGTCAAGATTCAACAACATCGTCTTTTGTTTGACCAAGACTTAAGAGAAAAAACAAACATTTAAAAATCCAGCTGTACTACCCCTGAAAAACTACCCCTTTTTCAGTTTTGACACGTTTCGTGCATATATTGGCTCTCAGTAATTTAAGTTAGTTTGCTTGCTCTAACGATAATGAATAGTGAAGGACTGTAAGGGTATTAATTGCTGTGTGATAGTAAGAGAGCATACTAGATTAATGCAGAATAAATGCAGGTTTTCCTTTTCGCTTCACTTTGTGAAAACAAAACTAATCCATTATGCTAAAGGGTACACATCGTTTTAAAGCCTATTTATCTCGCTTTCTTTATGTTACAGTCATTCTAGCAAAAACATTTAATTCAGTCTGTTCAGTGCCTTCAAACAAAATCATGTCTAAGAGCGATTTTCGGCAAATTTATTTCTATGAATTTAAACTTGGGCGAAGTGCAGCGCAAACCGCTCAAAACATTAATGACATTTGGGGCAAGGAACCATAAATGAATCCACAGTGCAGCGTTGGTTTCAAAAATTTTGTAATGAAGATTATGACCTCAAGAGCAAAGAAGGTGGTGGCCGTTCTTCTGCTGTTGACAACACCAGTTAAAGGCTATAGTTGAAAATAACTACTCGAGAAATGGCGGAAAAACTTGGTGTTGATCAATCCTCAGTCGTGCGCCATCTGGAAGCTATTGGGAAAACAAAGAGGTTCGCCAAATGGGTTCGGTATGAGCTGAACGACCGCCAAAAGGATCGCCGGTATGAAATCTGTTCGGTGAAATGATCCTTGAAAAAAAAGATCCATTTCTCAGTCGTATATGATGAAAAACGGATATTATATGACAATTGACAGCATTCTAGTCAGTGGCTGGATAAGAACGGAAAAGCCCTTCCCCAAGCTAAGCATACATCCAATAAAATTATGGTCACTGTCTAGTGCCTGTCTGCAGGACTCATTCATTGCAGCTTCCTTAATTCGGGTGTAACCATCACTGCTGAAAAGTACTGAAATAAAATTAATGAGATGGGCCGAAAACTGCGACAATTTATGGCCAGCAATCGGAAGAATCAATCCTTCACGACAACTCCCGCGCATCGGACTGTAGCACGACTTCATGAGTTGGCTTTAACACATCCACCATACTCACCAGATCTTTCTCCTACTGATTATTTCTTTTTTAAACTTCTCAACAATTTTTTGTGCGAGAAACGGTTCAGAAGCCAGAATGACAAAAAATATTTAGGGAGTTCGTTGATTACAGAGACCCTACTTTCTACGCTTCTAGGGTTAATGCATTGGTTGTGCTTGGTAAAAATGTATAAATATTGTGTGGTGATTAGTGACCGTTAATCGATAATTATTTAGAAATCGTGAGATGCGGTCTGGTGTGGTGTAGGTTTCAGAAAAACATTTTCTTTATCGTGCCAACGTTTCGATTTTTATTGAGATGATCTTCCTGAATTTCATTTCATCTTTCATTTCTTTTCATCTTTCAATTTCATCTTCAGGAAGATCATCTCAATAAAGATCGAAACGTTGGCACGATAAAGAAAATGTTTTTCTGAAACCTACACCACACCAGACCGCATCTCACGATTTCTAAATAATTGTATAAATAGTAATGGAAGTTATTTCGATTTTTTTTAAATTAAACTGTAGCTTGTTTTTACTGATTATCAAAAATCTGCATTATTTTTGCATCAGCTCAATACAAACCTAACAAACAAGCTTATATAACCAGGTAGTAAGTTTTTCTAAGGTTATTTTTGATCCAAAATAAAGTGCTTTCCTCTTAGATTCAGGGCTAATTAGTTATTTAAAATACAAAATTAATTATTTGATGAATATAAAACATAGTGTAATTAAAACATTCAAAAAATCGTCGAAACTATAAAATAATGTAAAAGTTAAAAAGACAACATTGTTAAAATATGAAAAAACAATAAAAAAAATAATAATATTAATAATAAATACAACAATAAATGAAACTAAAATAATTCTCGGTCACTCTGGATCTAGGTATGGACTAAGAAAAAAGCAAACTCAGTTCTTACTGTCAAGCTTTTGGCCTATTTCAAGATAATCTCATCAGGGCCTATATTTATTTCACATTACGAAAAACATATCTGTACATTTTTTTTTTTTTTTGACTGGGGCTTCCAACATCTAAGTTATTTCAGCCCCAATTAAGTCTATATTCTATTTACCCTTTCAAACACTACATTCATACAAATATATACATTCATACACATAAATACATCCATACAGTACACTCATTGAGTACTTGATATTCCTCCACCGACCTATTCTCAAACTAATCTAGATTGAGATCGAAGGAGTACTTTTATAAATATTCCGCCATCATCCCCGAACACACGCTCATACGCTCTCAAAGTTCGAGGGGCGATGATGACATTATATTTCACCCTCGCCCTTCGCCATTCCCGCTAATAAATACATCCACTAAGAAAAAACATATAGACACACAACACAAAAGACATATTATATACAATTAAAAAAAAAAAATTTTCCTCCAAAAAGCGGAACAGGGGACCCAGAAACCCGCTGCAGTGCTCGAGTACCATTTTCAGATTGGATGGCATGCTTACACGCTCCCTGTAGGGAGCCAAGGCGACATGTTTACAGTATGTGGGACACATCGAGCAACCTTTCTCTGCATGAGGGGCACCTGCGCGGGCTTTGGCCCAAGAGCAGGTGCCCGTGTGTCAACCGTGTATGGCCTATACTTAATCGCGTGTATCGATTTAACAATTGTTTTTCATAATGTGAAATTAATATATACCCTGACGATGACCTTTTGCTTTTTTATTCAAGATCATACTTTGATCCAGTGTTTTTGAGTGAAAAAGTGATCAATACATGTAGCGATTTTTTGGAGATCGTGAGATGTGGTCTGGTGCGACGTAGGTTTAGAACAACATTTTCTTTATCGTGCCAACGTTTCGATCTTTATTGAGATCATCCTCAGGGCTCAAATATATACTTCTAGCATTGAAAACTAAAATAATCCTAAAATGAGTTGTACTTCGCTCTACAATGAAGTGAAAAATGCTGTAAAAGGACTAGGAATGCTGTCAGATTCAATTAAGGTCATGCAATCTTCTTTTTTCACATAAAATATAATTGCGGTAATTCAGTATTTACAATATTTTGATTTTCTATAAAATTTTTCACCTGCAACTTCGGAGCTGAGCTTTCATGCTTCCCAGATTTGTTAGTGAATTCTGAAGAACTATCAGCATTATAGGTCAAACTTTTCTTCTCATTACCCGTTATCAAGGTGCAACGAGGAGATCCAATGTCCATAACATTTTGCCCTAAACTAGTTGTCAAAGAGGTGGAATTCGAAAACTGACAGACTTCTTTACCATTATTGATGGCAGTTTCTTTCTTGTTTGTTATCAACAAATTTAGAATCAGTTTGTCCACGTGATGTGAAAGTCATTTATACAAATAGTTTATACATATATATTATATATATATATATATATATGCAAATAAACTGTAAATCATGAATGTATCAACGCTCCAAGTACACGATTATTGATTGGAATAAGTTTATCAAAAAGATTGGTCTGTTATTCTAACCACGGTGCCACTTTTCCTGATAAATACTCACACTGATGCTTTAAAGATCAACACATAACTAAGATATGCCAATTTTGGTGAATATAGAGTGCGTTTCCGCCAATTCAAAAAGGGACACAAGATGCTGACTAGCAGCTAAGAGTCCACCTTGTGTTATTTTTCCTGTAGTTTCACACGCCCGAATACTTCAAAAAACTAAATAAACCGGTTTTTAGTTTCGACGTTTGTTACTTTTCTTGTGGGTTCCCGATTTCTCAGCTTCTTCTTCAGATGGACTTTGGAAATTTGAAACATAATTTAGGCTTAGGTTGCTTATTGTAAACATTTGTGCGATTAATATTAAACCTATTCGAAACAGGGGAAAGATATCATTACATTGATAGGTTAATTTTTTTGTACAGGGTCTGGAACTTTTTTTCACGGTTAGGTTTTGGTTAGGATTCTTATTTCTCAAAGTAACTCTTCTCTGAGGTAGTTTATTTATTGGTCACGTAATTTTTGCTTTATATAGAAATTGGTATTAATTCACACAGCCAAGCAGTCCTAAGCAAAATTGTCTCCCACAAAAACGAAACAAAGTTCAAAACGCAATTCTTTCATTAAATCTCAGAATGTTAGAGAACATCTTCCATCGTTCAAAACTTTCTTTAGTTAACTTTTAGATCTTTCGAATATAGAATAAACGAGAAGTAGATGATATTAGGTCAACTCTAAACTAAATACGGGTCATTTATTAAGCTGAGGTGTTTCTCTGTATTTTTACCAAGGTGTGTTATAATTTGGCTAGGTCTGTTCAAAGGATAGTTTAGGTTGGGAAAAAATTAATTTGCTTTGGAAAGCTTCATTAGCGTTTCCGATGTTTTAGTTAATTTTTGCAAGTATTGTTTTTTTTTTTTAGTTCTTACAAATTGCTCATTTCATTCGGCTTCCTTGGCACACTTGTAAGCTAATTGGTTTCCCGATATATGCCTGAACCCATTTAAGGCATTTTCTCCAAAGCGTTCCTTTTAACTTGAAATCTATGGATTAAACACCAACCAGCAAGCAAGCAGGCTTGAAAGAGATTGTTTCGTAGCCCTTAATTATTCGTGCCATTTTCCGTTGAACCGTAACCAGGCTTTGTATAATTTATGCTCGATCCAGAGATTCTCTGAAGATA